GGAGGGCTGGGGACAGGGGCGGCGCCTGCGCCCTGGGGTGGGGCCCTGGAGGGCAGCTGGCGGCTCTTGCCCTCAGGCTGTGAGTTACCCGAACCTCCCGAAATTTGCCCGAAGATCTGGCAACTTGGCGTTAAGAATGCAGCAGGTGTTTTTGGAGCGGAAGCTGAGTGCTGGCAGTTTCCGATACTCAACACTGGGGCCGTTTCCCGCCCGGGACATTGGCGCTTCACGCCTCTTTCCCGAATCATGCGCGCGCCTACGCGGGTCTCCGTGGCCTCCCTTTCCAGGGGCGTCTCCTGGGGCGGGTTGAGGCTGGGCCTGACCTGCAGGCGGAGGTGGGGGCGCCCCAGCCGGAGCCGGGTCCCCAAGAGCTCGTGCTCTGCGAGCACGCAGGCGCCCGCGCGTGACTGTGTGTGTGTGTGCGTGCGGCAGGATGCGCGCACCTGTACAGGTGTGTATGCATGCAGGCGTGTGCAGTGCCTCCGCGTGTGCTACGGGTGTGCCCGCTGGTGCCTGTGCCTCCACGGTGTGCCTGGCGGTGTGTGGGGGCACACGTGTGCATGCCTGTGTGTCGGGGTGCACGTGTGTGCGCGTCTGTGCTTGCATTGGTGTGGGCCTCTGCTGGCCCCTCCCTGGGCCTGCCCCCTCTGCCTGGCCTCTGTCTGCCCTGACCAGGGTGTGGCCTTCCCAGCCGAGGCCCAGGGCTCCTGGCTGCACCTGCCCAGGGGCGTGTGGCAGCAGCTTTGCAGTTCTGGGGGTGACATGGGGCCACTGGGCCCTGGTCTCGGCCCCAGCTGGCCAGGTGGTGGGCTGCGGGCAGCAGGTGGCCCAGGGTGTGGGCCCAGCCTGCAGACCCCAGCGTCGCTCTGTCTTCCTGGTGCCCCGGCCTCCCTCGAAGTCCTTCATCTGGCTTTCCTGTGCCTGGCCTTCCTGGGCACGGGTGCTCAGGGTCCCCCTGTGCTGCCGCCTTGAGCCAGGACCCCTTTTTCGGCCTCTGTGGGGCTGCCCGATGAGGCCTCCCCCGAGCCACCGACCCCACACACTGACTTGGTCTGATAGTTTAACATCATTTTAAACAATTGACTCAGTTCAGGTTAGAGTTGCTTTTCTGAGGCTCATGGGTCTGTGCTGCCCTCCCGTTATTTTTTTTTTAATTAAAAATATTTATGTATGCACACAAGAGCTGGGGTGCTGACCAGAAGTAGGGGTGAGAGGACTCACCAGGTACAGAGCAGGGAGCAGAGCAGGCAGACACACTGACAGCCACTGCTGAGGGGCGCCCTGGGGGTCACTCCCTGGCCTAGACTGGACTCAGGCCAGCGAGGACAGCCGAGGCCGCCCCTCCCCTTGTGCACTCTAGCTCAGCGCAGCGCAGAGCTCGGCCCTTGGCTTCACCCAGGTTCCCCGGGAGTGGGGTCTGGGCACAGGCCGAGGCCTGCAGAGGGCGCTGATGTGTATGTCGCACTCACCAGTGGTTTTGGGTGTTCTTGTTGCTAGAATGGTGAACACAGAAATCGGGACCCCAGCTCGAAGCAAGATGGGACCGGTCGCCAGTAAGAAACGCACGTCTTTGCTGGCTTCCTCGGGACATGCTCCGCAGGTGCCGCAGACGGGGGGGGCCTGCCGGCCGCGGGCACAGCGCGGGGCCGGGGCCTGCCCAGCCGCTCAGCCAGACGCGCCCCTTGAGGGAGGCCCCGCAGGCCTGGCAGAGCGTGACCACGCGCCTCCGCCCCCTGCCCAGGCACGGCGGATCTGGGGGTGGCCTGTGCAGCGGTGTGTCTGCCCAAGGGTAACCCCAATGACAGCTGTTGCGGGCTCAGGGGCCTGGACGGGCCACAAAGCCGCCCCCTGGGTCTGTAAGCACAGGGCTGGGGTCTCTTGCAAGGTGAGTGGGGTAAGTCTCCGCAGACAGAAAGCCCAGCGCTCGCCTTCTCGGAACCCAGCGGAGCAGACTCCGGGCGTGCTCGGGGCTTAAACCCCGAGCCAGGCTCCGGCCCGGAAGGGTGAATGTGCCGTTCCAAAGCCCTAATTACAGGCCCTAACTTGCCCATAAAATGTGGCTTGTAAGTACAGCAATCGCCAGACAGGGCTTTTTCGGAAGAAAACCGAGCACTTGGTGTTGGCTGTGCACGCCGGGCGGCTGCGGGGCTCTGGGGGGCGCGGGTCTGCACAGACGCGGGCCAGGGCGCCGTCTGCGCCGGTGCCCCCAGCGCTGCGGGGGCTGGTGTTCGGGCTCTGTGCCTCTGGCCGCGAGGCCCGCAGCCCGGGGAGCGCCGCGCAGAGCCCCAGCTTGAAGGAAGGCGCCACGGCGAGAGCCGCTCCTGACCGCGGTCCTGTGCCTTCCAGGCCCGTGGACGGTGTGGCGAGCAGCGGCGGGAGAGACGGAGACCCCGGGGGGAAGGTGAGCCTGGCCTGGCTCTGTGCCCGCAGGGCACCGCGTGGGGGCGGGCGCCCGAGGGCCTCGGAGGCCTTTGGGAGCCCGGGAAGCCGGCGGGCGTGAGCTCAGGCGGTGGCTCAGGGCTGGCCCCTGCGGCAGGGAGGCAGTGCCTGGCGGGAGGGCAGTGGCCAGCGCCCAGTCTGGGGACAGCACTTGTGCTAACGGGCAGCAGTGTGGACAAAGGAAGCGGATCTAGAGCCGGAAAGACCCTGCAGGAGTGTGGGCTGAGGCGCTGCCGCGGGCGGGCCGGACCGGGCGGGCCGGCCGGGGGTGGGCCAGCCCTCTGGCAGAGGCCCTGCTGGCCTTCCGTCCTCACAGCAGAGTGCCATGTCCGTGGGAGGGGGCTGGGTGGGCCCTGGCGTCCGGTCACTGCTCTGCTCTGTGTTGAGGAAGGTCGGGAGGACTTGGGGGGGGCTGGATAGGGAACCACCGGGGCTGTGCTCTGGGCGCTGGCAGAAACGCGCCAGGGCAGGGCCTCTCGCAGGGGCGCTGGAGCCCGCAGGGGGCTGGTGCTGTGGGGAGGGGCTAGCCCGGCTCTCAGCCAGCCAGGCGCCGCAGGGGCCAGCGAGTGTCTGCTGAGTGGCCGTGGCCTGGACGTGGTGGGGTGCCTGGTCATGCCTGCAGGGTGTTGAGACCCGGCCCGTGGCCTTTGGGCAGCCTCCAGAGACCCGGGCCCAGCACCCGACAGGACTTGGTCCCCGGCCCCGTGCAGGGAGGTGGGTCCGGTGGGCGGGTGGGCAGCGGCCCGGCCAGGAAGCACCGGCCGCTGCCTGCTCGGACGGGGCAGCCTGGGCCGCGGCCGCATGCGGGGTCACAGGACTCACAGGATGACGGGTGACAGGCACCCGAAACTGCCGTCACATTCCTTCTTTTCAGTCTGACATGAACGTTTGCAGCGTATCTCTTAAATCATTTAAAGTTAGGTTATTTTAGCTTTCTAACAACCCCACAAGGGAGAAAACATTTTCCCAGTGTGTTTGCAAGATTCAGGTTTGTGATTGAATTTTCTGGCTCCGCACCTGACTGCTAGGAACTCGCGCGGGGGGCGGCGGAGGCGGACCTGGCGGAGGCTGACGAGTACATAGCCGGCTTGGAGGACGACTTCGAAGTAGGTGTAGCTGAAGCCTTAGCAAACTTGCTCCTGAAACCGGGTAATAGGTTTTGTTCTCTTTTTATTACCCCTAAGAATCAGTAGCCGCCGACTGCGGTCTGTACCCAGAAGGGGCGTATTTCTGCGTGTCCCGCGCTGCTCTCTTGAGATTCTACGGTGCGACCCGCTCAGGGCGCTGCCCTCGGACACACGAGCGCGCGCA